TGTGTGGTAGACTTTATAAGTTGTTTATTTTAGTTTTTAGCTTAATTTAAGCTAAAATATTGTGTTTGGTGCAGCTTAAGTTAACTAGTTTATACCTTAAATCAAGCTATTTCTCAAAAGCTGGTCAATAGGTGTTTAAATTTTTTACTTAAGCGCACAGCTAGTGTGGGGGGTTAAAATTACTTAAATGCCCTCGTCAATACCCAAATATTAATATTAATTAATATTAATATTAATATTAATTAAAGGGCATTTAAGTAATTTTAACCCCCCACACTAGCTGTGCGCTTAAGTAAAAAATTTAAACACCTATTGACCAGCTTTTGAGAAATAGCTTGATTTAAGGTATAAACTAGTTAACTTAAGCTGCACCAAACACAATATTTTAGCTTAAATTAAGCTAAAAACTGAAATAAATAACTTATAAAGTCTACCAAACAGGCCTATCGTCATGGGATCAAAAGCTGAGGTAGGACGTGATTGTTAATAAATGCACCTAAACTTTAATTTTGTAATGAATTAATTATTAATTGATACTAATTAATAACAATTGTTGATTATTAATATTAATTGATACTAATAAAAATTAAATATTAATATTAATTTATACTAATTGATAATTTTAGTATTAATTGATACTAATTAAGCAATTAATTGATATTAATTAATTTATAATGAAAAATAATTGTGACAATAATATTTTCATTACATTTTTAGCAAATGTATCAATTTTTATATTAATTGATACTAATTATATTAACTTTTATTAATGATTTTTTTTTAAAATTAAAACTGAAAAAAATGACAAAATAATCATTTTTACATTATATAAGGGCAGAAAGGACAATTATATAGTAAAAAATTATTTTACAACTTATTAACCAAATACTACTCTGCTGCTTAAATCTATAATCTCACAGCTGCATCAAACAGATTAACAACTATAAGTCATAATCTGTTAAATTATAATTTATAATCACTTTTCTACAACTCTACTAAACGGGACCCCAACACCTATAACCACCACCGCAACCAGCCCGCTTAGGTAGGTGATCCAATTCCCCTTGTTATCCCATCCCATTAAGAATTTAAGGGGAAAAAAAAAAAATCAACTAAATCGATTCAACTTAATTGAACCGATCATATTTAGTTAGTTTTTTAATATGAATCGGTTTGTTTGGTTTTGAAATTTTTTTATTTATTTATTTTCGGTTCAGTGCCGATTTTGACATATTGTACACCAATTTTCACCGAAAACTAACCGTAGATGTTTACATATAATAAAATTATTGTTTTAAGTTGGGATTTTTATTGATAAGTCCAATTTAGAATTGTTTTAACCCAAGAAGTTCATGAAGGAAATTTTTAACCCATTTAGTCCCATGTATGTATAGTTTTATTCCATAAATTCCATTTTCTTGATTTACACTATTTTCTTGGACACTTATACCCTTATATTTAATTTTGATACCCTTATAAATATTTTTTCAACGATTAGCAATTTAATGATGTGAATATTTATATTTTAATATTCACATTTGTAGGAATGTAAATTGGCCCATGGGCGGCCCGAAACCCGCCCGCGAGCCAGGGCCGGCCCGGCTCGTTGACAATGTGAATATTCACATTGACATGTTAAAATTCACATTAATAGGAGTGTAAAATTGGCCCCCTTTCCGTGGCGGCGCGAAACTCGCCCGTGACCCATGGGCGGCCCGGGACGGGCCCGGGACGGTCCGTTGACAATGTGAATATTCACATTGACATGTTAACATTCACATTGATAAGAGTATAAAATTGGGCCGCAGCACATGGGCGGCCAAAAGCCCGCCCGTAGCCCGGGGCGGGCCCAACCCCGCCCGTTGACAATGTGAATATTCACATTGACATGTTAACATTCACATTGATAGGAGTGTAAAATTAACCCGCGCCTCGTAGCTGCCCGAAACCCGCCCACGGCCTGTGGGCGAGCCTAGCCCGGCCTGTTGACAATGTGAATGTTCACATTGACATGTTAACATTCACATTGATAAGAGTATAAAACTAGACAGCAGCCCAGGGCGGGCCCGACTCAGCCCGGCCCGACCCATTGACAACGTGAATATTCACATTGACCTGTTAACATTCACATTAATAGGAGTGTAAAATTGGCCCCCGTCCCGTGGCGGCGCGAAACCTGCCCGTGGCCCATGGGCAGCCCGGGACGAGCCCGGTCCGGCCCGTTGACAATGTGAATATTCACATTGACATGTTAACATTCACATTGATAAGAGTATAAAATTAGCCCGCGGCCTATGGACGGCCAAAAGTCCGCCCGTGGCCCGGGGCGGGCCCGGCCCGGCCCGTTGACAATGTGAATATTCACATTGACATGTTAACATTCACATTGATAAGAGTGTACAATTGGCCCGTGACCCGTGGACAGCCCGAAGCCCGACCTCGGGCCAGGGCGGGCCCGACCTGTTGGCAATGTGAATATTCACTATTTTATTCTAAAATAGTGAAGTATTTGAATTATTTCATTTTTTTTTATTTATAACAAAGCATAATTTTAATTATTAATTATTGGCCCGGGGTGGCCCGGGTTTGGGTCCGGGCCTACCCTGGGCCGCGTGCGAGCTTCAGGCAGCGGACAAGTTTTACACTCCTATCAATGTTAATGTTAACATGTCAATGTGAATATTCACATTGTCATGGGTCAGGCCAAGCCCGCCTCGGGCTGTGATCGGGCTTCGGGCCGCCCACGAGCTGTGGGCCAATTTCACACTCTTATCAATGTGAATGTTAACATGTCAATGTGAATATTAACGTTGTCAACGGGCCGGGCCTGCGTCGACCCGGGGCCGGGCTTCAGGCTGCCCACGGGTCACGGACTAATTTTACACTCTTATCAATGTTAATGTTAATATGTCAATGTGAATATTCACATTGTCAACGAGCCGGGCTGGGCCCACCCTGGGCAGCGGGCCCGCTTCGGGCCGCCCACGGGCCACGGGTCAATTTTACACTCATATCAATATAAATGTTAATATGTCAATGTGAATATTCACATTGTCAACGGGCCGGACCGGGCTCGCCCCGGGCCGCCCATGGGACACGAGTCAGTTTTACACTCTTATCAATGTGAATGTTAATATGTCAATGTGAATATTCACACTGTCAACAGGCCGGGCCGGGCCCGCCTCCGACCGCCCACAGGCCGTGGGCGTGTTTCTGGCAGCCACGGGGCACGGGCTAATGTTACACTCTTATTAATGTGAATGTTAACATGTCTATGTGAATATTCACGTTGTGAACGGGCCGGGCCCGCGTTGGCCTGGAGCCGGGCTTCGGGCTGCCCACAGGTTACGGGCTAATTTTACACTCTTATCAATGTTAATGTTAATATGTCAATGTGAATATTCACATTGTCAACGAGCCGGGCTGGGCCCGCCCTAGGCAGCGGGCCAGCTTCGGGCCGCCCACAGGCCACGGGTCAATTTTACACTCCTATCAATATGAATGTTAATATGTCAATGTGAATATTCACATTGTCAACGGGCCGGACCGGGTTCGCCCCGGGCCGTCCATGGGACGCGAGTCAGTTTTACGCTCTTATCAATGTGAATGTTAATATGTCAATGTAAATATTCACATTGTCAACAGGCCGGGTCGGGCCCGCCCCGGGTCGCCCATGGGCCGTAGGCTAGTTTCGGGCAGCCACAAGGCGCGGGCTAATTTTATACTCTTATCAATGTGAATGTTAACATATCAATGTGAATATTTGCATTATCAACGAGTCGGGTCGCAATGTGAATATTCATATTGTCAACGGGCCGGGCCGGGCCCGCCCTGACCCGGGCCCTGGCTTCGGGCTGCCCACGGGTCATGGGCCAATATTACACTCTTGTCAATGTTAATGTTAATGTTAATATATCAATGTGAATATTCATAATGTAAATAGGCCGGCCCCGGGCGACGGGCTGGTTTCGGGCCGCAGGCCAATTTTACACTCCTATCAATGTGAATATTAACTTGTCAATGTGAATATTCATATTATCAACGGGCCGGGTCGGGCCTATTTTTTTGGCTTGTGGGCCGGCCCGGCCCGACTCAAATTTTTCCGGACACCCACGAGGATCGACATGAGCTGGGCCCCTACACATTGATGATATAAACATTTATATTGACGGTGTAAACATTCACATTAAGGGTATTTTGGTAATTATGTCACCCATAAATTTTATTGAAACATAAGAAAATAATGTGAACTAAATGGAACATAAGTAGATAAAAAGGGTATTTTGGTCTTCTTATCTCAAATTGGACCTAATGGAATAGTAAAAAAGAATATGGGTTGGATGGAATAAAACTCTTAGAAAATGGATTTATCAAAAAAGCTCCCTTTTAAGTTTTATTTTGATATTAAAACTTTGGTTCTTAGATTATATTTTATTTCTAATTATAATACAGTAAAAACTTCAAGCATTAGTATTTATTAATTTTTTTTGTTTGTATTTTTGTGAATAATTGAATTGAATATGGTTAAAATTATGTACAAATTACTAATTGAATATTTTTGTATAAATTATTTATTATACTATAAATTTAAGAAATGACTCAATTTAAATTGTATTGAGTCAAACCATTTGAATCAGTGCAATTTGATGTGATTTGGTAAAAAATTAAATCTGTACCAATTTTTAATATAATATAGTCCATATTATCAATTGGGTATAAAATTTCACCTAAACCGACCGAACCGATTACATACAGCGCATCCCACCCTTTTCCACTTATTACACCAAGAAGTGACTCAATTTAAATTGTATTGAGTCAAACCATTTGAATCAGTGCAATTTGATGTGATTTGGTAAAAAATTAAATCCGTACCAATTTTTAATATAATATATAGTCCATATTATCAATTGGGTATAAAATTTCACCTAAACCGACCGAACCGATTACATATATCGCATCCCACCCTTTTCCACTTATTACACCACTTCTATTCTATCTGTGAGACTGTAACAAAGTCCAAGTAGAAGAGGAGGAGGAGAAGAAGAGAGAAAAAAAGAAGAAGAAGAAAAAGCAGAACTAAAATTAAATAACTAGGAGGGAGGGAGGGAGAGAGAGAGCGGCAGTGTTTCTCTTCGCTGTGGAGAGAACTTCCGGATTAGATCTCAGATCTCTTATCTCTGATCAGATCACAACATAAGGTACCTTTCTTCCTCCATTTTTATATGTGTAGGCACCGTATATTATTGATTTTTTTCTTTTTGTGAGAGGTTTTTTTTGATTCTTTTATCGTTCTCAAATGATTCGTTTTTGAATTCCTACATTGTATGCAGCTTTTTTTTTTTGGTGTATTTTTCTTTTTCTAAGTTCAATCTAGTGTACTTGGACATGGATTCGTCAGCAATGCTGTTCAACCAGCTCAAGGTTCGTTAACTCTTTGCTCAATTCCAATTGCATATTCATATACACATTCGCATTTATACTACGAGCATCATCATCATATATTTATATTTATTAATGCTTTTTAACACTTGATGTGATGGAAAATTATTCAATCAAAATCTTAATCAGACAGCGGAACCATTTTTTTTGTTGGCTGGTCCCAATGTGATTGAATCGGAGGAACATGTTCTACGGATGGCCAACCACATTAAGGCTATCACTTCAAAGTATGTCCTCGCCCACTCTCTGCACGCACACTGTGGGTGGATCCCTAGTTTCTTTATGCTATGTTTGGTTGAGAAATTTGGGGAGAGATCTGGAAAGTGAAAGGGAAAATGTGTGTGAAATTAGGTAAAACGTGGATATATTTTATTCGCATTTTATCTACCTTCCAGTTTCCTTTCTAAATTCCTCTTCAAATCCCCTAAACAGGGACATTCGCTTTTTTTTCCTGTATTGCTATCATATAATTTTGGTTTCATCCATACTATAATCTCTATGTATGTATATATATAGTACATAATTAATAATGGAGAATTACACTTGCTTTCTCCTAGACTTGGGTTGCCTCTAGTTTTCAAGTCAAGCTTTGACAAAGCCAATCGGACGTCTTCCAAATCATTTCGTGGTCCTGGCCTTGACCAGGGCTTGAAGGTATTACCTGATAGCTTCTTCTTCTTCTTCTTAATACCTTGCTCTTGCTCTTGCTCTTGCTCTCTTTCTCGCTCCCTCTATATGGATACATGAATGTGTGTGTGCTCATATTTAAGCCCTGCTATATTTATGTGTCAAACAAAGGGGAAAAAAAAAAATGAAACAAAAATTACAGCTTGTTTGGTTTTGTTTTTTTGAAAACAGTTTTCAAAAAATTCTACTTTCTTGTTTCTCGTATTTTTTTGTTTTTACTGAATTTTTTTTGATATTTTAAGTAATTTTTTTTAATTTTTAAACACACTTAGCATAAATACACATAAAAAGTATAATTTTTGTGAAAAAATCTTTTAAAAATTTAATAAATACCAAAAATACAAAAAAAAAAGAGCGAAAATTTAGTATATTTTTTGTATTTTTATGTATTTGTTAATTTTTTAAAATATTTTTTCATAAATTTTTTACTTTTAGATACATCTAAGTAAGGTGCATCTAGAAAATTATTAAAAAAATGCTTAAAATTTTAAAAATATTCACTAAAAACAAAAAAACACGAAAAACAAAAAACTCAATTTTCAAAAAACTTAATCCAAAAAACTCAAACCAAACACACTAATTTCAAAGTCTTAGATGGAACCATTATGTTAATGGAAGTCATTTTGCAGATGAAGTTAGAAGTTTTGAATATTTCAATTTCAAATGAAAATGATCACATCACATCACACGGCATTGAAACACAGTGGAGTCTTCCCTTATTCACAATTCTCCCACTTTAGGCAATGGACTGATATTTACTTCAATGCCATAGAAAATGCAATGGGGCGAGTCAAGTTCAAGGGTATAATGGTTAAACAAGCCTTCAATTTGGAATTTCATGCTTATCTAAGCCAACAGAATTCCCTTAATGCTTTACTCATATGCATTAATCCTTTCTGGTTTTAGATCCTTGAGAAGGTAAAGGTTGCTTATGATATTCCCATAGTGACTGATGTTCATGAAAGCATCCAGGTAACTTTTTTCTTCCTCTTTCAAATGCCAATGTTCTATTGGTATATATATGTTCTTCTATGTTTGATTTTTATGTGCCTATAGAAAACCACGGAGCATATAGTATGTAGTTATCAAACACCATGCAACAACCTTGTTTTTGCTTTTTTGTTTTTGTTTTCACCACTCATGCCTTTACGTTTTCTAGTTTCCAAGAACAGTGCATTTGATATAGCTCCCCGTTAATATTAACTGAGAATATAGGGGAATCAACACACATTTTGATCCAGTCAATAATAAGTTTTAAGGGGAACCTTATCAACTCGTGTCCTATTAGAAATCCCATTTAATTGTCATAAGCCTTCATCAAGTCAACTTTAACAGCACATTTTTTGGGACCTTGCCAACCCGATGATAATTTCTCATTAATTTCTGAGCCAAAAATACATTGCCACTTATCCTCCTACCCTACACAAAAGCTGACTGAGGCCTCGTTTGGGAATAGGTTAATTTAGTAACTTTTTGGCTATTTGGCTAAAAAGGTAGGTAAAAAAAACTTATATGTTTGGGATGACTTTTTGGCTAATTACGAAAAGATGTGCAAAAAGTAGAGAGAAAAGAGAATCTTTGACTTTTTGGTATGAGTTGTTGGCTTTTTGGCTAAAATGATAACTTTTTGACTTTTTGGCTAAAAAGGTAACTCCCCAAACGGGGCCTGAGTCTCATCAGTAACCTTAGGAAATACTTTCTTAACTTTCTCAGCTAATAACTTGGTAAGATATTCGTATATGGTGTTACAGCATGATATAATGACATTGGACCCCTCTCAACTTAACTTCTCATTAATTGTTTCATTAAGGATGTCATCAAATGGTATTGACATCACTTAAAAGTCATAAGCTTTTAAGATGATATATTTTTGTTTCTTCTATACCATTGGCAAATGGACTGTTTACCTAATGAGCTCCCATTGCGGACATATATTCCCATACTCCGTGCCATTAGTTGCATAGGCAAGCTTGTTACCAGTTCTTCTGTTGCTGCACCATTATTTATGTAGGTGGGTTTATTTTCACTCATCATTTTGTTCTTCTGAAGGAGAAGCTGATGAAGTGGAAAGTAGAAAGTCGAAAGTGTTAAGATGTACTGTTTTATTGACAAAAATCTTGGGTGATGTACTCAATTTTGTTAACCTTTTTATGTTCTGTTTTTATAAATGACTTTTTCCATATATTATTTGAGGAACTTGTATTGGCACAACATCTTCAGGTGAAATCTTTGTTTCCATGTTCGTTTCTTTAGTGCATATTGTCCGTTAGTATTTTTAATATTCTTATTCCTCTTGCCATGCCAATGCTAACTTCAACAACTAAATGATGATGAAGGGATGGTGTAGTACCAATGTTCAACATGGCATGAACTGTTTCTGACACTATTTTTCTCAGTGTGAAGCAGTTGGCAAAGTTGCAGATATTATTCAGATACCAGCCTTCTTATGCCGACAGGTTGAATTAATAGGTTTTAGTTGCCACTATGAAATTTTTTTGCAATTTAGATATGAAGATGCCTAATATATATCTATCAATTCATCTTGTTGACAACCTCTTGAAATGACAGACAGATCTCCTAGTTGCAGCTGCCAAGACTGGAAAAATTATCAATATTAAGAAAGGCCAATTCTGTGCCCCTTCTGTGAGTTTAAGATTTTTAACCTCATCCGCAATCAGTTAGAACCTTCATTAATAAGTTCAAAGGCCTAGGATATATACATTTGTCCCTTTCTGGTCCCATTTGTATAATTAATGATGCATATCTGCAGGTCATGGTAAATTCTGCTGAAAAGATTAGATTGGCTGGAAATGAAAATGTTATGGTTTGTGAGAGAGGGACTATGTTTGGCTATAGTAAGTCATCTTAAATTTCTTGTCCAGTGCTATCTGCCGCAGGCTTCTGAACAGTTATATTTGGCGTTTACTGTAGTATATTGATATAAGAATAATGGATATTAACTTGTTTAATTATTTTTACTTGAGTGCCTAAGGCCTTTAGGGATCAATACAAACTGTAACACCATAACAACTTAAACATGTGGCAGAGATATGGCCGTCTTTTCTTCTTTTGGTTGCCATCTGTCACCCCATTTCCATGGATTAGTGACCACTGCTCACTTGGATTCAAATTAGAAACTTTTGTATAATTTACAGTGGTGTCTTCCATTTCAATTTCCACAAATTGAAGCTGTTAATTTATTAGCTGAAGTTGATCTGAAGTAAAGCTATATTCTTGCTATAAGTGTTCCATGATTAAAGTCATTGATGCATTATTGATGTCATTTTTTTTATTGAGCTAATATATTGGTTATGTTTCACAGATGATTTGATTGTTGATCCGCGCAACTTGGAATGGATGAGGGAAGCTAATTGTCCCATTGTGAGTAAATTATTTATGCAGTTTATTTTATGATATATTTCTGTTTAAGGAATAGTTCTTTGTATGGTTGCACCCTGCCTGCGGTCACATTACTATTTCTGAAGGATCTGATAATTTGGTTCTGACTACAGGTGGCTGATATCACCCATTCTTTGCAACAGCCTGCTGGAAGACAGGTGTGGATCATTTCTGAAATCATGTTTAAAAATTAGAACGTTAGGTATCACTGAAATTTTATAAGAAGTATGCTAGGTTAATCTAAATTGCTAATTTTGGTAGACATTTTTGTCTCCATGACATTAGGTACATAATACATACGGGTAAAACCTCTTATTCTCTCTTCATAGTTTGATTATTGCTAATGTCAATTTTTTTTTAGAACTTTACATGAATCTCTTTGTACATGATTATGGCTGATGTCTTCACAATGGTGGATGATGGTAAACATGCTTGGGATATAAAGATTGAAGATCTCACCTCTACTGCAAATTTAAAAACTTTCGCACTGAATTGTAAATAGTTACCCCACTTGCCACTGAATTGTAATTTACCGCTTTGTTGGGCTTTTATGAAGTCTTTTGATACCAGAGGAGTATAAGACACTTCTGGGACTAGCTATTTTTGCTTCTTTTTGGCTTTGTACTGGCAGCACCCCACTTTTTGTGCATCTTTAACACGTAAAACGTTGTGCCATTGATAATTCTTTGTACATGGCTCTTGTCTGGCAAGGAATGTTAACAGAGAAATAACAGTTCGTAGCTAATACTGTCTCAAATTATTATAGGCTCTTAAAAAATTTCAGAATCAGTGTTCTCTTCGCTTTTAGTAAATTCTCTTTTCTGTGTTAAGTTCTGATCCGTTTTGTAGCGGTAACTGACTCTTTCTGGCTTTTATCACCTCCAATTAGTTGCAGATTTCTAAATCAAATTTACTTGTGTATATATCATGTTGATTTTGTCCCTTCTTTCTCAAATAGCTCGAGGGGGGTGGTGTTGCCAGTGGAGGTCTCCGTGAACTGATACCATGCATTGCAAGGACAGCAGTTGCTGTTGGAGTTGATGGAATTTTCATGGAGGTACAGAATTGAGCTATGCTCTTGGTTGTGTTTTTGTTTTCTGTTTTCTGTTTTCTTTTTCCTTTTTTTTTGTGGGGAAAGACAAAAACAAAACAAAACAAAACTTGTTTGGCTAATTGTTTCCGAAACCAGCTTTCTGGAAAAAAAAAATAGTGTCTGATTCTCTCTTATAACTTTAATGCTAAGTTCTCAAGTATACATGATACAAGTAAGACACTAACTCTTGCATTATATACTGCAATTTCTTGTACTAAAGAGCTATTGCTGCATAAATGGAAGCAAAAAAAAGGGGATATAGAGAGAGATTTTATGTGATGCAAACTGTCAAAGAGAAAGGATGAGAGTTTTTAAACTTGTTGACTCTTCTAACATAGACATTGGCAAAATTTTGTTGCTTTCTTGAAACCATTTGATAATAATGGTATCGTGCTCTCACTTGACAAAGAAAACTTTCCCCGTACTGATTCTCTTAGCGTGGAAAACAAGGATAAAATATTCCTTTTCACTTCTGTTGTTAGTTGTTTCTCTTGTTAAATAACATGCATTACTGTACTGATCAAAACAATCATATCTGATATGATTTTGTTGAATGTCAAATTGTGGATATTATAGAGCATTTCTCATTCATATTGCATGGCTCTTTTGGTTAATGGAATGCACACTTAGAATTTTTCATAGCATGATCATTCAAAAGCCATATTCCGTTATAGCCCTCATTTTACCCTCTATTCTATGCATTGGTAGGCTTTTAAGAGCTTTTTCCTGTGTGCTTAGGTGCATGATGATCCTCGAAGTGCTCCCGTTGATGGTTCCACCCAATGGGTAAGTTTCAAGTGTACAGCATGAATTGCCGGGTAGTCCCAAAGTTTTGATTTTTCCCTGTTTGATTCCGAATATTCTTGTTCAATATCTCATCTTTTGACATGAGAGATGTGTGATAATCGATTTTTTTATTCTCTTACTGTTTTCTTCCTGTCTTCTAATTTCATAAAGAAAAAGTGTGTTTACTTCCTGTCAGAGATCTCTTTATACACAGAAGTAGCCTTCATTACTGCCATGAGCATCCTGTTTAGCAGATTACTAATAATGTTGCCCACATATGTATGAATACAGCCTCTGCGCCATTTGGAGGAATTGCTAGAAGAGCTAATCGCAATTGCTGTAAGTCATTCTACCTGTCATTAATATGAATTGTAACTGTTCAATAGAGAACTTGTCTTGATTGTTATTAACATTTGTTTTCTAGAGCAGTGCCATATAAATTGGGCACTGAATACACATACACACACGCGAGAGCAAGAGAGAGAGAGACAGACAGACAGACAATTAAAGGGAACAAAATAAATTAGTGCCTATTAGAGGCCTTCCATTATGCTGCACATCTCATCCATCTACATGATTGTTTCTCATATGCCTGATACTCATTAATTTTTCCAAATTCCAACGCTAAATATTTTGTTTTGTTCCCATTTCTTTTCTTTTCTTTTTAAATCTTAAAGAGGGTTAGCAAGGGGAAGCAACAGTTCAAAATTGATCTCACTCCGTTCCGTGATTAGAAGGGCTTTTCTCAAGGGCAATGCAAATAAAAATGGCTGGGTTGGGTACGTTTCTTTTCTGTTTTTGATTCGTTTATGACTCTGTGACATGCCAAAAATCCAATTCACATGTTGTGGGATAAAGCTTCTATAAAGGAGTTAGTGTGCCTCCTCTTTTCCTGTCACTTTGAAGGAAGTACTTTCTGGTTAGAAAAAAGAGTAATTTCTTACTTAATTAAGTTGTAATATATTATTCCTTGTTTGTATAAATTGGCTGTGTCTGAAACTTGAAAGAATTAAGATTTTATGGAATGAAACACCATTGATCAAGCACACAATCACGTGGTGTTCTACACCTGTTAATTTCTGATGAAGTTGTAAATCAGATAAGAGGATCTACACGAAAACTTTTCCCTCATTTTATTTCATCTTTTGGGTGGTCGGGGTGTGGATTGATCAGCCGAGGACATCTCATGGGGCTGACCAGTTCGCTGGGGATTGTTCCCAAGGCACCTAGTTATTATTTGATTTATTCCTTGTTTTCATGATTTAAACCCAGCGTTGATGTTTGAATGATTCTATGTCAAGATGATTTATCCATTGCCACTTTGTTGTTTGATAGTAATAGTACTTTATACTAGAAAATTAAATTTTTACCAGAAAAACCAGAAAACTCAATAAAAACCTGATAGCTACCCTGCTTTGAGAGTAAAAAAGTTTATGCACAAAATTTAGGATATTTCAACCAGTAATGGTGTTCAAAGTACAACACAACAATCAGGCATAGGATCTGGTGCACTGGCATGCATACTATACTTGAATCAAAACTTGGCTAGAAACAATGCATTACTGTATGTTGATTTCATAAAAAATGAATCAATGTCTTTCAGCTCTCTTGACATGGAACCTAATACCACATTGCCAGATCATAAACTGTCACAAATTACATCATAATACGACAATACTGGGTTCCAGTTTGCATATACTCAGAATCGGAAGACTACCTAAATATTATTAAGTCACCAACTTGGCAAAGAGCCTCAGAGAAGGAAACGAAAACCATATTGCCAAAACATTGATATGGTTGAAAGAAAACAACTAGGAAACTAAAGAATTCATCCTTAAATCTTTTGTCATACTACAAGTTATACTCTCAAACATGTAAATAAGCATTCCTTTTATTTAATACCTTCAATGCAATATGCAAGCAAAGGAACAATTTCAATCTAAGAAAGACCAATGAGCCTATTTTACAAGAAAGTAGAAACAATATGAAAAGATTTTGTGTATAAAAACATATTGAAAACTTATGTACCCACCACCACAGAGCATGCCCCAAGCTTCATTGCCTCCATTGGTCACTGGCACACAAAAAACAAAAAGAAAAAGAAAGACATAAACCTTCAGCATCCCTGGCCTATGAGCATACAATACAATACGGCCGTGTATATATCCTCGAACCAAGAACATTATTTGTCATTGATGAACTAAGTTATACAACACAGTCCATATAATACTACACACTAATAATTTGCAGAAAAAAAAAAATACTAGTATTTGGTTGTATATTATACTTGTAGTTGTGAGGTAGGTAGGTAGACTGCTCAAATTCAGAATTGCTACCATATCCTATACTATGAACAAGTAACTAGCCGATCATGTACAGTCAAGTGATTTTGACAATCCAGTGTCTCCCTTACTGCCCTATAAAACTCCAGCCATGAAGACGAGACATCATCCACAGGCCCCCACAAGAATGTGGGGTTTGGACTGGCCGGACACGCACGCACCAAGTCCAGCACTGAGGCTGCCGGTTTCAGTGGTCGGGGGAAATTGAAAGCCAAGTTATCGACTTTGTGCTCGTAAATTTTGCCATTCCGATCCAATTTGTAGCGAGAGGTGCCCTGAAACTGGCCCTTTGCCTCCCATGGAACCCTAGGAATACCCCTCAAATTCCACCTAATCAATATGACATTCTCAGAAGGCTGCCAGATCCTAAGCACCTCCAAGCCAATTTCATGAAACAGAATTCGACCGTGAAAACGTAGTGCCCAGAAGATCAATTTGTAATTTTCAATGCCGGCGAAGGTGTTCAATGGGTCTACAAAGGTTATGTCGTCCCTGCCAATGATAAAAACCAAAAACCAACCCTAGAGTCTATGAGAATCGAAAACCTTTTACCTAATAACAGATACATATGAACACATTAAAGTGAATTCGAATTCAAATTCAAATAAACCTGTAAATGTGGTAGTTGAGGTCTCTGGAGAAAAGGAAGGGAAGGTCTTCGCGGAGAGTCCGAACAGCGAGGCCAAGGTTGACATAGAAGTCGTTCCTCTGCTCTTCCTGGGGTTGGGGTTGGGGTTTGGGGGTGGTGGGTGGTGGTAGCAGGAGGTTGGTCAACTTGGGCAACCCGTAATGGATAAGGAGAAGAAGGAGAAGGAGGGGGTTCAAGCTTGGGGAGGACAGCAAAGAGAGAGGTGGCGACTCTGGGAGAAGAGAGAGAGGTGATGGTGGTGGTTTGTTGAATGGTGGTGGTGGGTGGTTTGTCTTTGGATTGAAGGATTGTTGTAATTGGAGTTGGAGAAGAATAATATAGATTCGGCATAAGAGAAGCCATTCCTTTCTTTCTTTCTTTCTTCTATTTTCCTTCGGTTTATTACCTACCGTTTCATGAGAGACGCAAAGAGTGAGTGAGTGTGTGTGTGGAGTCTGTGAAAGCAAAGATAGATATATACGTGGCTTTCAAACTGGCTTATTGATAATATAAGCTGTCTTTTTTATTTGACTAGTAAGAGCATCTTTCCTTAATTTTTTTTTCATTAAATTTAAATTTGACAAAAAAATATTTTAAAATGATCTCTAATTTTTTTTTTAATTTATCAAATATTCATTAAATTTAAATCTAATAAAAATTTAAAATTTTATTTGGATCCCTTTAAATTGCGTCACTTTTATCTCTCTTAAAATTAGTGTTTATATAAATTTTTTTTTTATTTTTATAACTGATGAATTTAAATAAACAGTTATATCACCATATAAATAAATATTTATAGATTATTTTGTAGTGTTGTTGGACACGAATTTGGACGGATAATTCATTTTCTCTATTTCTCTATACATAAAATCTAACAACTAGTATGTAAGAAAATATATATATATATATATATACAAGAGAAGTGACATTACTATGGAGTATCCACCCAACACCTAATAAATTTTTTCAAGAAATAGGGATTAAGGCATGCATTTATCTTAAACTAAAATAGGAAAACAATGAAGAAAACAAAATAATCCAAATAGGATGAAATTAAAGTGCGTGGGTTTAGTTGAGAGAGAGAGAGAGAGAGAGGGCATTCTAAAAAAGGATTTTCTGTTGAGACCCTCAGGAAATCGGAATAGTATCCATAATGATATTTGAACCTTTTATTCTTTTTTAGATACCTTTTCCTTCCAAGTAAATATTGAATATGTGAAGAAAATATTGAATACAACATGCGGTGACACAGTAATACCATTATTTAATAAACAAACTCTCACAACAAATGATCATGTGAAAGATAAACTTAGCCCACTTAATCACATTTGTAATTTTTATTATCGGTAATACTATATAAAATGATATCACCGTTACACTTAAAATTTAATTCTCCATTCTATCTAACAACATGTGTAATATTTTGTGTAACACTGGAATATCCCCTCTCACATACACAAATATACTCATCATGCAAAATACCAAGTCCTAACAATGAGGAGGAGGATATCTAACAACACCATCCATCTAGTAAATTTCCCTCTTCTTTAAAACAAACTCTACAAATACTACTTCCTCCCATAGTAATTAATGCCAGCTTTAATTAGCCAATAGCTTAGCTCTACTACCCTCATTCATTCTTCTCATTGGGCCACTCTCTGGAAGCTAAGGAATGAACAAACATTTCATTGTGCTACCAAATTTACTCACTCTGTTGCCATACATAATAACAGTGGTAACAAGACAAAACTCAAATCAACAATTTGTATGCACAATCGTAAAATTATTAATGCCAATAAACGATCCATGGCAGTAAATCTTATTGATCCATAACTCCCACAAATTAGATACTAACAATAAAATCAAAAAATATCCAAAGTGATATTGAAATTATTATATATATGCAAGTCCAAAGCAGGCCAGAAGAAACAAGGTCTTAATGAAGGAGAGCCCTTTATCCATACTAGCTAGCTATCACGCATCATCATCTGTGGTTACCATCTCACACCTTGCTCTTGTGCTCTGGTCTATGAGTGAACTCAAAATCTATATGCACAAAAGCTCGCTCAACTTCAGGGACTTGTTCAAGCTTTTCTTGTAGCGTTTCCCCAATATTATGGGCTTCACTTACAACCATGTCCTCAGGCAACACTATATCAACCTCCACAAAGTAATGAGAACCAAAAGTGTATGCTCTCACCGTGTCTATGTGCTTGATCTCTTCATGGTGGTTCCATATAAGATATGTTAGTTTTGCAAGGAAATCCGGTGGTGCTGTTCTTCCAATTAGTGACCACACATTTTCAAGTACTGTCTTTGCCCATGTGCTAATTGTATATAATGCTATCTGCATTCCAAGATGATTAACCAATCATTAATGAAAGAACAAGGGGTTTAACTTCTCAAATTAATTGCAAGAACTGTCTATGTAAAATGAGGTATCATCAGAGGTTTCTCTCTGTTTCATGAAAAAGAAGAATGTTAATAGTAAGTTTGCATATGCTGCAAAAAAATGGAATACCGGATATAATTATCATGGATCAATAATGTGAAAAAGGCACATGGAAACATGAATAAAAATAAATAAATAAATAAATAAGAGCACACAGGCTGAACTAATTAGCCAAAGCAAGTTTATAATTTAGAAGAACTTACGAACTTACAATTATAGCCCCAGTAGGATCAATCCACCAGTAGAATCGGATTGCTAGAACAGCTGTTGCTAATCCAACTGTGTTTGTGACAACATCAAAGAAATGATCTTTAGCATAGGCTCTAACAATTTCATTTTCGAATCTTCGGCAATAGACCATGAGCACAAACTTCACCACAGTGACAGATACCATAATCCCAATCATCCATTTTTCCTTCTCAGGGTTCGTGTTGGGACCGACCTGCAACGAGGTGCAGAAAAACAGAAGAGATGAAAGAAGTGACTAACATTATAAGCATTTGACACAAGCATAGCCTATATTTTGTGGTAATTACTTTGCTGCATCGACTAAAAATTGCTCATATGAATGACATCAGTAGACAAATAGATCCATCAATTGGAAGGTAGTTACCTTGCAGACTTGAAAAAAATTAAGCAAACCCTTTACAACTCAACTACCTCTCTGAAATTAGCAAATTATTTACAAAATGACTTCATTTATTTTTCAACTATTCTCAAGATAAGTATTGACTACATGGTGTGATAATTTTGCATATAACGAGTTGGATGAGCCTGTCACCATATTGCAGGCCCAACTGCTTGCATCCCATCTGCAGGTTTTTATATGGGATTTCCCTTCTGCCTAATCCCAAATTGGAGGACTCAGGGGTATGCAGTCTCTCAAGTGTCAAAAATCTTAGATAAGTCAAGGGAAATTAGCTGATAGGTCCAAATGAGAACATCGTTTTAATATCTCTGCGACAAGAATAGTATAGTTCTAGCGAATTAGGATCAGTTCATTCCATGTTGCATACATGCCTAATAGATGCCCCAAGGCATTGACAACCATGTCTATGTTGTATTGCATCAAATAGAGGAGACTTCATTCATTTTGAAGGATCCAGGTAGCATAGGCTACCTCTTGAACATATATCATCCTCAGTAATAAGCAGGGAAGCAAGGGTAGAGCCAAGAATCCTTCATTGGGATGACCGGAACAAAGGTATGGGATAGATTCTGCATAGACAATCGGTGACCAATAAAGAATTATAAGAGACTAGTATAAATTTATACATGCTACCCAATTCTCATAAGCCTATAGCCCTATTTGGTGAAGCTTATTGGGGCTGTTCATAGCTTTTATTATCATGAGAACCTATGTCAGAGAGTTTGGTGCAGTTTTTTCTACAGTTTATGAAATAAAAATAGCTCAAATAAGTTGAAAACTCCTTCTATCAACTTTCAACTTATAAGAAGTTGCACCGACCAAGTCCTATGTAATTATTTGAATATTATTCGACATGCTTAGGTCCATAGTGCTTTGCAAGTAGTCCAGTTAAAAAACTATAGAATCTACATAAGAAACCAATATCTTTTCTCTAGCAGAATTCAAGCAAAAGTTTTATTTATTTATTAATTATGATTTTACACCAATCAAATAGACTATATTCCTCATTTATTGCAAAGTTTTTTAATATGTGGTTGCCAATGCTTGTTAACAAACAGCTGGATTAAATTTTTGGAAGGCCAATATGAGACATTTAATTTTGAAGGACAACCATTATACAAAGTGGGCTTTTGAAAAAATTTTAGGGGTGCCGGATTGAATTTGGGAGGGCCACTACATAGAAAGTAGGATTTATCAAATTTTGGCCCTAGTAATGCTAGTACCAACCCAAATATATGCTCCTTTCTACCACACACAATTTGGCTACATATCAGTACTCACATTATGCTTGTGCCTCCTCACTATATACATTGATGGCAAAGATTTCTATTATTCCAAATGGTTATGTATAATTATCATTAACAGAGAACAATTTAAGGCCTTAAAAATCTGTCTAAGGGGCCTTCCCAGAGGGTGGATGTTAACATAGCCTGAAATCTTTCAAAACCCAACTATAGGTTAAAATGTCTCTATGCAATAAGATACTCACTAACTAACCTGTCTTTACTAATGTAGGTTAGCCAACCTTTATTAACTAGACAGTGAACCAGGTCAAACTCACATACCTTTGCCATAAGTTGCCTAGCAGATTCAAGCAATATTTGTAATCCAAGAGTTGCCATTACTGATGCAAAAACAACGATACCCTGCAAATTGAAACCTAATTAGTGTAGATCCATTGAAAGGGGAAAAACTGATGTTACAGACATCTTTTAGAATGTGTGATGTGTACCATGCATGATCGTTTTGAAGTTAAATGCGAATATTAACTTGCATGGGAGGCATATACAGAGTCCTAACAGTATCATAGTCTTCTCTTATCTATATTGTTTTATGGCTGACCCTCCTCAAGGTATGATAGCATGAAATATCAAAACATGCATGCGACTTGCTCAGCTAATAGAAAGGGACATTACATAACAGGTTCACCACTACTAAGACATCACTCCACTACCCTATGTTACACAGGCTCTTCAAAATAAATCATATGTGTCTTACACCCGACACTCAGGCAAGAGTGTGGGATATGTGTTAGATACTTTTCAAATGACACTTATATAATTATATATAAAACTATCATTATATGTACATATTGTTGTATAATTGGTATAAATGTCTTTTTAACACTGTAAGTTACATAGAGTACCATTTTTTTGCCGAGTCCCTAAATTTATGATTTGATGAGTCCAACCTCTAGATACATACTTGCACCCAACATCTGTATCCAAGTCCATATAACATAGCCACTACCCTTTACCAGGGCAAGTGAGGAAGGAAACCATGAGGTGAAATCAGATGTATGTCCAAACCACTGAATTGCAATTTCATAATTTGTTTGCATCTTTATTCACATATGCAATATAAGGCATTCACTTTAAGGTTTCATCAGGAAATCTATGAACTTCAATTTTATAATGTTGACTATTTCTGGCATTGAACTCCACCAAGGTTGCTTAACAGATCCGCCGGTCCCAAGCCCGGGTAAAAGAGGAGGGTTTAGTGTTAACTAGCTGACAGCCAACACGTAAAAAAGCGGCTCGAATCCGTTATGACATTGTTGGCACATAAATTTCAACAAATTTATGTTAAAATTTCAAATATGGTCAATCAGTCAATGACACGTATAAAGCCTATGATAGAAATGTTATAGGTAATCACTTCCTAAAAAGATCAATATGATCTATTGAAGTGCATAAATAAAACAACGTCGTATCTCAAGACGTTATTCAAAATGCTCAAGTGACACGTGGAACCTACGAAAGATGGCACCTGTAGAGCTTACAGCAAAGACACCACATAGGATGAAACCCCAAAGATCAATCCGGTTAATCAGATATACAATTAATCATATAGCGCTATCATTCAAAATTCAAATGGCGCTATCATTCAATTTGAAATTCAAATTGAGGATGAGGCATTCTTATCACCTGAATGGCCTTCTATAAATATGAGAACTATCACACAAGATTAGGGATCAGAAAATCAGAAGTGAGAAGATCAGAGAGAGAGAGAGAAAGAAATCAAGAGCTAAAGAAATCGTTACACGAAAGAAGAAAAGAAGCCTAGAGAACTCAAGAACCTACACTACAAACGCAGAATGGCGATGAATAGGTAAAGGGTTCCAAACCCAAGAATTATACTTTGTATTCAAGGGTTCAAAACCCATAACAATTTCAATAAAATATTTATTTTTCTTAAATTGTCTTATGTTATTTATTATGTTCTTCATAAATCGGAGGTTTTATTTATATAAAATGTGTAATTAACGATCTGGAATATAGATCGGAAATAGGAACCTGCTATTCAAATAATCAACACTGTTTAGTCCAAAAACTAAACAGTGGACATTTGTAACATAAAATTTTGAAATGTGTTGAAACACTTCATATATCAAAATTATGTGTTGAAGCACCTCATGTCTCAAAATTTGTCTCTACAGACATGAAGCCTATTACTCTGAATCGATTAAATGCTAGGTCGTTCCCTTTATACTAACGAAATAGCCTTGGATAGAGTTAAGTGGAGAAAAAAGATTCATGTAACTGACCCCATTTGATGGGACTTAAGGCAAGGTTTGGTTTGATTTGGTTTGGTTTGGTTGGGTTACTATTTTTGGCATTGAATTATACAAGTGCCCTTTGGTATCACATCTTTGCATCTCCAAATGCATGATTTGTCATATATGGGACTTTTATTGCAAAAGTAGAGAAAATTTAGCATAGCAACTAAAAATATGTTGGAAAAGGCATTTTACTACTGTCATCTTTGTTGGTCGAGAAGATGGAAGAAAGGAGAACTGAAATTTAAAATCTTGACACTTAGCATTGGAAAGTTGTAAGCTTTTATAAGCCAATCTGGTTGCGAACGTAACAAACAAGGAAACTATATATATGATACGAGACACAAAGTGCTGCATGAATAAGGATCAACAATCCATAGAGAGCTCCACACTCTGAATCATAACAAAAGAAACTGATGCACACCCTGGAGGAGTAAAGATAGGTTAATAGAGGAGGTTGAAGCATGAAAGATTATTAATACTTTGAAGTTGTTCCCAATATCATGAACTCAGGCCTTGTGTTGAATGTGGGTAATTTTAGAGCACTTACCACTGGTTGCATCCTCTTCTTTCCAATTGGATAGTGATACTGGTTTGGGTTTTTCATGGCATGAGCAGTGAACCACAGAATAAACCCAGATAAGAGGTCCAAGAGAGAATCCAGGGTTGATGCAATAACTGCCAATGATCTGCTCTCAATGGAAGCAAATACTTTTGCCATGAAAAGCACCAAATTAGCTATATTTGACACATTTATAGCCATTCTCTCACTCTGGGCAAGATGCTTTAGCTCATCCTGAAAAAGAAGGTAATATATTAAGAAAACAGCAATATCCCTCATTCAGCAAATAGAAAGTTTGAAGTGATAGTAATTGTAGTGTATAGTCTGGTAGTCAGATCATGCAAACCATAGATTTCCCGCATCTTCCATCACTCAGATCAAGAGTAATATTAACCAACAAGGATAGGGGCCATATCATATTATTCTTGGCTTTATCTATGCAACCAAACTCAAAAAATTATCCCCTACCTGTTTCATAAGAAGCCATGTAAAACCTATAATAGTTTTTTTTGTTGATAATTATCAATTTACACAATAAATCATAAAGAACTAACTCAGCTTGGAGCTGAACCCACAGAGTACGCCCACCATTTGTAGGCACCAGCATATTGCAAAGTCAGGAGGTTCTATCTCATTGTATCCAAACTTTAACTTAGTCATGTCTAATTTTCACATATCAATACTTCAAGCAATATATCAATCTACATATATATATATATAGAGAGAGAGAGAGAGAGGAGAGAGAAATATTATATAAATCCTTTAGTAAATAACAGAAACAACAGCAGAAGCATTCAAGCATGAGTAACCTAAGAACTTACATCTGTTAGATTTCCAGGCAAACCACCTGATGTATTCATAGTTTCCATCTCATTGAAGCCTACAAGGAGACTTTCTTGCTTTTTGTAATATTCTGCAATCTTGCCTTGCTTCCCTGGAAGAAGAAATAAAGGAATATAATTTTGCATGAAGAATTTTCAAATTTGAGGGGACAAATTTTTAATCAAACAGTTCACGCATGTTAAACCACTTGTGCACAATTTTTGCATGTATGGCGAAGATCTTTAAATGGAATTATGTCTATGATAAATTATTATTGTAAAATCCAAAAATAGCAGACCTCCATCTGAAATGCAGAAAGAATGAGGGAAAGCAGGGGAAAATGTTCAAATGTCCTTGAATTCCTGTGTTAAGCTTTTTCACACTACTCTTCTATTTTCTTCAATCTTGCCAAGATCCAACTGAAGACAGTGCCTAATATAGTTCACATGACAGAATGATTACCAAATGACTTTAGGCTGATTTGACATTCTGGCAGAACATATATTTTACTACTTGTTCTTTATGGGATGAAGTTTTTTACCTATTATCTTTTTCGATTTCAGTCTTCAAACCTTTTAGAGGAATCCCACAGTGTCTCTAGAGAGATATGAGGGTAGTGTGTAATCTGCAGTGCCAGAATCTGATTGTTTTTTGTTTTGTTTATGCTGTACTTTTCTCAGAGCATTTCATGCTCTCCCGTTTCTCTTCTACTTCTCTTCTTTTCTATTATTATTTCTTTTGTTGTCAATAAAAAATCAAACCAAGCCTTAAGTCCAATCAAATGGTATTAACTACATGAATTCTTCTTCTTCATTCCACTCTATCCAAGGCCATATCGTTAGTCAAATTAAAAAGATTCATATCTCTAATTACTACACTAGCCCACATCAATCTAGGCTTGCCCCTTCTCCTAACACTTCCATCTACCGTCATTGTATCGCATCTTTTCACTACTACCTCTATTAGTCTCCGTTGTATATGACCAAATCATCTCAATCTATTCTCTCTTAACTTATCTTCTATCGGCACTACTCTCTTAACTTATCTTATCTCAATCTATTCTCCCAACATTCCATCTCATACAACATTGCTGGTCTAATAGACGTTCTATAAAACTTCCTTTTTAGTCTAGTGGGTATTCGTTTATTGCACAGTATCCCAAACGCACTCCTCCACTTAAGTCACCCCGCCTTAATTCTACGGGCCACATCCGCTCCAATCTCCCCAGCCATTGTTATAATCGATCATAAATAACGAAAATGTTCACTTTTAGATAGTGTCTGGTCCTCAATCTTCACTTCTCCTCTACTTTTATTATTACTATTACTAAAATTGCACTCCACATACTCTATCTTAGTTCTGCTTATCTTAAATCATTTAGATTTAAGTGCTTTTATCCAAATCTCCAACTTAGTGTTAACTCCTTCTCTAGTCTCATCCACTAACACAATATCATCTGCAAAAAGCACACACTATAGCACATGAAATGGCAGGGGACGTCATGAATAAAATATGATTATACAACACATAAATCTTTTAACTACAAGTCTACAAAACAAGATGCAACACGTAATATGGTTAACCAACCAACTCCAGAAGAACTTCCCCACATTGCTAGCTATTTGTTTAATTCTCTATTTGCATGAACACACAATGGGCGAAAGAATTAAACCTCTCGAGTTTTCTTCCCTCATCACTCAGGGTCTCAAATTGCTAATCTTGAAAATGGTCCCAAATCTTGACAGAAAAATCCAAGAGCTCTTCAAATAACAAAGATGTTAGCTCCACAATGCAAAGGCAGCAAAGAACCAACACACATGACTTGCAAATTATTCAGTGATTTGGAATAAGTTTGACATAGGACAGGTAGGGGAAGACTCTTTAAATAGTAGTGAGTCCAAAATTAATATACAACAACAGAAAATCTAGGCTTTTAAGGTTGAAAATATGGCTTATAATTGTGGTTGAAAATATGGTAAACACAGACTTTCTAAGGGTTGGTATGGGTTGATAAAGAGGTAAGGGTTTCAGCATGAAAAGATAGGATTTTTTGGCACTATTGTTCGGGATTTTTTTTTTTGATCAACGAGATTGTTCGGGATGTTGTGAACAATACCCAAGAAAAATAACTTTGCATTGAACAATATAGCATGATTATTTAGGATCAACACTTAGCCTAAATAATCATTATATAAGACTCTACTAAGCATAGAAACATGATTACACATGGTTTCAAATATTTTGGTTAGTCATATACTGGCTCACAATGGAAAATACCATTGATGGACTAAAAGGCCATAGAAAACAAGAAAGAAGCACCCTTCTAAGTTTACTATCGTTGATTTACCACCTCATCTAAAATAATGGAAAGGGGTCAAGACAGGGGACTTTGAAAACTTATGACTATTGATTGCTTAAGAATCTTAAAACTACCACAACATTGCCTTAGACTTAACCGAAGATATGGTTTTTAATAGAGGTAACCATATGGAACGAATAAATTGTAGCGGACCCAAGTAATTGGGATGAATCCTTACTGAGTTGAGTTGAGTCAAGTCTAATACTACCATATCATCAAACAAAACAACAAATCAAATCATGTACTATTTTCTAGCAGCATTAATTTTATGCTATTCTAACCAGGACTGGACCACATTGATGAGATGCTTTTTAACTTATAGTGTCCATTTTTTGCTGCAATACAAGAGGCCATCTTTCCTAACCAAGTCTTTTAACTTGCAAAATTCACTAGCAAATTAAATCAATCTTGTTTTTCGAGGTACAGATCCGGCATACCAAATTCTTAGAGTACTTTAGTAATTGAGTCTAACTATGTCAAATTATTTGTTTAATATATTTCAGTATTATGCCCCAAACCAAAACAAATGGAAAAGATTAAAATAAAAAAGAAGAGGAAAAAAAATTGAGATCTATACCATCTCTGTTTTCAATGAGCCGCACCCATGTTTTCAACTAACAAATTAAGTGCAAGCATACCCCAGGTTGTTCCTAAAACAGAAAGGAACAAGTAGGCGAGAGGTCCAATTATGTGAGTTGTGCATCTCATCATAGGTGGTGCTAGTTCGATTGATGATCAGAGCCATTTATTTTATAGATTTGTGTGTATGAACTATTCCTGAAAAATAATTTGGTAGGCTTGAATGGGTAGATTATTATTCCTGAAAATTAAAACCATTTTTGTGGGGATGATGAATAATCAAACAGCCCAAAATATAAAATACAAATAATGGTGGTGGGACCCTGGTGAGGTTACATTACAGGGACTAATTAATTAGAGATGACAGAACCTCTCTCCAACTTGAGAGAGAGAGAGAGAGAGCCAGATCCGATCCAACTACTGAAATGGGTTCACCAAACCCAAACTTCATCGTAAAGTTTCGGACTCTGAAACCCAAATGTCATCAGATGAGAGCGGTAGCAAAATAGCATAAAAATAAAAAGGGTTCATTCCATATATATATACATAAATGCATGTTGTTAATGTACACTAAACCTAACCCACTAACCTAACCCACTACATCCACCCCACTAAACCTAACACACTTACCATCTCCACTACCACCCACCACCTCCACTACCATCCACTACCACCACTCACTTACCTCACACCTCTCCTATATAATAGCTTGTAACATACAATACAGATACATAACAATCTTGTAAAACAATACAATCAATAATAATACATCAGTTATTTTACATGTGAATGAGAGAGAGTGAGAAAGTTGATTCAGTTACTGGGAGGGGGAATGAGGCGGCGGAAACTGAAAGAAGAATGGTGATCGCGACGGCGTTGAGGAGGAGGCAAATTGAACTCTTTGAGGTTGAGTCTCCACGACGATGATGATGTCTGCTCCGCCTCTGCTGAGACCTCAATCTCATTCATATTTTTAATAATCATACCACCACCACCACCACCACCACCGTCGTCACTGCTACTAGTAATACCACTGCTTTCCTCCATTGCCATCATTAATATTAATATATATATACTCTCGTCTCTCTCCAGCAGCACCACCACCACCCTGGAAAATCAGTACTAGGGTAACTTTATTTATAACCTTTTACGATTGCACTCTTGAGAGTGCCTTCTAGAAGCATTTTGGCAACGAGGGTAAAAAAAGCCAGTTTTTTTTTTTTTGACTTTTTAACATTTTTTAGTCAAAAGAAAGTCAATTTTTTTATTCAAAATAACTTAATTTTTTATTAAAAAAATCAAAAAATTAACCTTTTACTAACTTTTTAAAACAACTCTTAAGCCGCCGACAACAATAATAATAATAATAAACAGAGAAATAACACTATTGTATTGTGTGTCAAGCTGCGCAGGTGACACATTGAATAGAGTCGAACATGATTCCTTTCTAAAAGTTTATTATACCAAAATCTCTTATATAGCAGAATTACGCTGACAGTTCTTTCTAATTTGAAATTTGTATTTTTTTAATTTTAATTTTTTAATTTTAAATTTTATTTTAAATAAAAATAATTAAAGATATTTTTTTTACAAATGATTTATTTCAAAGATAAAATCGTTGTACAATTTTTTTATGTTAATTAACTTGTATGTTGTTTGAAATGTAATGGCTTTTTTTTAATGAATAATGTTAGAATATTTTTTATTATAAAGTTCTGTTTGATTTGTTTTTTATAATCTATTTTTAGAATATTTTTTAAGAAATTAAAAATTAATTTGGTAAAAAAAATTAAAAATACATCATTTTTATATAATTTCATCTTTTGAGAAGGTATAAATAATTTTAAAATTTTTTTATATTTATTTACATTAAATTAATTTTTATTTTTTCAAAATTCAAACATGGCAACCACTTTGATGTCATTATTAACTAATTCATTAAATTAAAAAATTACAAAATTAAAAATATTTCATATATTAAATATTTCAATTACACATTAAACCTAATAACCATTCAAAAATATCTCTTAACAACAAATACAACCATCTATTACATGATAACTATCAAAAAATATTAACAAAAATAACTACCCATTACATGATCATCATCCAAACATATACTAAAAATTAATTTGGCAAAAAAATAAAAATGAAAAAATTTATTATTTTTATATAATTTTATCTTTGGTACATAAAAATAATTTTTGATATTTATTTTTGTCAAATTAATTTATATTTTATCAAATTAACGATTTTGCCCTTAAATGAAGTAATGGTGTCTTCAATTATCTTTATTTGAAACGAAATTCAAAATTTATAATCAAATGTATCACAGTTGAAAGGTTAAAGACTAAAGTAACACACATTCCAAATTACATTACGGGGTTGTTTGGGGTGTCCTAAATAAGTGTACTTTTTGTCTTTTTAGACTAAAAAGTTGAAGAAAAAAATATGGATACTTGGGTTAACTTTTTGACTTTTTATGAAAAAATATGTATTAAAAAATTGTATAAATAAGTGTATAGGGAAATAAAGTGACATTATAGGCCGTACGGCTAGAAGTCTAAAGGGCAGCGCGGCGGAGGGCAATGTAGGAGATTGATTCTCTACTTTTCAGGCATAAATTGGTCGGTTCTGTTCAGCCCATGGGGGCCCACCACGGGTCCCGTTTTACTAATCAGAACCGTTGAATGTGTAGAACTCGTCGAGTACTATATGTTTGTAAAAAAATCACGTTGATTGGATATTGATAGCGATCTGATCGTGTTAGTTTTTTTTGTTAACTATTAACTATAACACCATCCATTTTTATACAAAACTGATTTAATCATGTATTTAGCGATATCCGATAGACATGATTTTTTACAGAAATATAGTACTAGACGAGTTCTACTTATTAACGGTTCAGATTATCAAAACGGGACCTATGGTGAGCCCCCACAGACCCAGCTCTACCATCCAATTTAGTAAATATTTTACTATAATTTTTTTCTCCTTCGGTCACTGACTTCACCATCTCGTCAGTACCAATCCATGAGTTTATTTTTTTATTTGTATTAATATGTGTATATTATTGTAAAATAACTTTTTACTGTGTAATTGTCCTTTTTGCCCTTATGTGATATAAAAATGATTATTTTGTCATTTTTTTCAGTTTTAATTTTAAAAAAATAAAATTATTTCATTAATAAAAGTTAATATAATCATTATTACAAAAATTATCATTTCATTAATAGTATCAATTAGTATAAAATTATTTCATTTTTTCATTATAAATTAATTAGTGGCAATTGCAATTAATGGTTTAATAAGCATCAATTAATACTAAATTATTAATAGTATCAATTAGTATAAATTTTGTGCATTTTTTCATTATAAATTAATTAGTGGCAATTAATGGTTTAATAAGCATCAATTAATACGTTGTTTGGGGTGTCCTAAATAAGTGTACTTTTTGTCTTTTTAGACTAAAAAGTTGAAGAAAAAAATATGGATACTTGGGTTAACTTTTTGACTTTTTATGAAAAAATATGTATTAAAAAATTGTATAAATAAGTGTATAGGGAAATAAAGTGACATTATAGGCCGTACGGCTAGAAGTCTAAAGGGCAGCGCGGCGGAGGGCAATGTAGGAGATTGATTCTCTACTTTTCAGGCATAAATTGGTCGGTTCTGTTCAGCCCATGGGGGCCCACCACGGGTCCCGTTTTACTAATCAGAACCGTTGAATGTGTAGAACTCGTCGAGTACTATATGTTTGTAAAAAAATCACGTTGATTGGATATTGATAGCGATCTGATCGTGTTAGTTTTTTTTGTTAACTATTAACTATAACACCATCCATTTTTATACAAAACTGATTTGATCATGTATTTAGCGATATCCGATAGACATGATTTTTACAAAAATATAGTACTAGACGAGTTCTATTTATTAAACGGTTCAGATTATCAAAACGGGACCCATGATGGGCCCCCACAGACCCAGCTCTACCATCCAATTTAGTAAATATTTTACTATAATTTCTCTCCCCCGGTCACTGACTTCACCATCTTGTCAGTACCAATCCATGAGTTTATTTTTTTATTTGTATTAATATTTGTATATTATTTTTTTAATATTTTTTTTTAATGAATAGTGTTAACTTTTTAAAAAACTTTTTGTCTTTTTAAATTTTTCAAGGGTTGCCAAATTTACCATTAATGTAATTCACCCTAAATTATTTGTATCAATTCTCATTTTGACCTCTTAATTTAAAATTTACATATATACAAAGTAAGGTCCTAAATTATTTATAATATAAAATTTCGTAATGATGTTATTCTTGTATCATTTTATCTCTAAACTATTAGAGTAACTATTAGAGTATCGTTTTATTCTCTAGAAATGTACAATTATACCTGCAACTATTAAAATGTCACACATCCTTGTCTGGTTAATGACAAAAGTCAAATGATGTTAGAGTATTATTCTATTCTCTAAAAATGTACAATTATACCTTCAACTATTAAAATGTCACACCTTCTAGTCTGGTTAATGACAAAAGTGAAATGATGAAAGTATTCCAGCTTCTATATCTCAAAGACTTTTCCGCCTTGTTTGGCTTCGCTTTGAAAAATGATTTTGGAAAAAATTTTTGAAAATTTTGTCTGATTTGTAATTTTTCTCAAAAAAATTTTAAAATCACTTTCTCTCTCCTACACATTAATCAATAACTTTTTCTCTTTCATCTTTCCTTTTCAATCACTTTTTCCCTCACATATATCTAATCAATTACAACAAAATATCAAATCATCCCAAACTCCCAAATTTCAAAACTATTTTCAAAATATATAACCAAACAAACTACAAAAATTTCTAAACTATCATTCCAAAATATTTTTTAAAAACTCATATCCCAAAGTCAAACCAAACAAGTCTTTCATCTAATCCCGCTGCAGACCACTAGAAGACCAGCTCTAAAAGGAGCTCTAAATAGGCGGCATGTATTGTGTAAAACTGAAGGCCATTTGCATATTGACTGCGTGTGTTTCACGCACTGTAAAAAAAAAAGAAGTGAAATCCCGCTCAAATGTTGATCGAGCTTATGTATATAAAAGAAAAAAAAAATTTCCCGCACATTTGATCTGAGCTTCTCTTCCACCATTCCCTCACGTCCACCGTCCGGTGTTTACCCTCTCCTCCACCATCCAGCGTCAGCCCTCTCCTCCGTCGTCCCTCTCTGTCACCGTTTGGCGTTTGCTGTCTCCTTCGGCATTTGCAGATTTGTCCTCCGCCGTTCGTCTCCTCCACCGTCCGACGTCTTCTCCCTC